GGAGAGGTGGCTGCTCATGAATGTGGTCTCTGTAAAGTGCCAGGGGTCCAAGGAAGGCATCCATGGCACATACCACCTGACCCAGCCTACCTGACTGGCCTTGGCTGCCTCTGTGCCCTTGCACTTGCGTTTCCTCCCGCCTGGAATGTCCTTCCCTGCTTTTTTTTTTTTTTTTTTTTTTTTGCGGTACGCGGGCCTCACTGTTGCGGCCTCTCCCGTTGCGGAGCACAGGCTCCGGACGCGCAGGCTCAGCGGCCATGGCTCACGGGCCCAGCCGCTCCGCAGCATGTGGGATCTTCCCGGACCGGGGCACGAACCCGTGTCCCCTGCATCGGCAGGCGGACTCTCAACCACTGTGCCACCAGGGAAGCCCCCTTCCCTGCATTTTAATGTGGTTTACTGCATGTCCTTAAAGGCCTAGCCCATCCATGTATTGCTCTGACCTCTCCCTCCATGCTGGATGAATATCTCCCTCTGTACTTTTTTTTGGGTATAAATTTTATTTATTTATTTATTTTTTGGCTGCGCTTGGTCCTTGTTGCTGCACATGGGCCTTCTCTAGTTGCGGCCAGTGGGGGCTACTCTTCATTGCGGTGCACGGGCTTCTCATTGTGGTGGCTTCTCTTGTTGCGGAGCACGGGCTCTAGGCGCCTGGGCTTCAGTAGTTGTGGTGCATGGGCTTAGTTGCTCCGGGGCATGTGGATCTTCCTGCACCAGGGATCGAACCCATGTCCCCTGCATTGGCAGGCGGATACTAAACCACTGTGCCACCAGGGAAGTCCTCCCTCTGTACTTTATTCTTTCCGTTATCATGCTGATTTGTGACCGTCTCCGTGTCTGTCTCCCCCAGCCACTGGGGAGGGCAGAGGTCTTGTTCATTTGCACCCTAGGTCCCAGTACAGGCCTTCGCAGGTCCCCAGTGCAGGATGTGGATGAGAGAGAGTTTGGTTCTGGAAGGGTTGGGTGGTGGTTCCCAGGGCACAGAGCAAGCCACCACCCATCCCCCGGTGGTCCTCCTCTTCCTCTCAGATCAACAAGATGGAGTGGTGGAGCCGTTTGGTGTCTAGTGACCCCGAGATCAATACCAAGAAGATCAATCCTGAGAACTCCAAGGTGAGCCCTGGCTGGTTGGAGGAGCTTCGGTTGGGAGGTGAGGGGCCTAGGTGGCCCCAGAACTTCACCCATCCCTGTCAATGCCTGCTCCCCAGCTGTCAGACCTGGACAGTGAGACCCGCAGCATGGTGGAGAAGATGATGTACGACCAGAGACAGAAGTCCATGGGGCTGCCCACCTCAGATGAGCAGAAGAAACAGGAGATTCTGAAGAAGTGAGCAACTGAGAGATGGGGGTTTGGGGAAAGTGTCTGGGGCTTGGACCTGGGTGACAGCGACGAGTGTGTACGGAGCGGAACACAGGAGCTGCCCTGCCCCTTCCAGGATGAGCCAGCCAAGTTTATGGCTTTATAGCCTTGGCTTGCCTCCCCTAATCACTTGGTGAGGTCATCTTGAGGGCAAGGCCACCTCAGGGTAGGAAGGGGTAACAGGCGGTCATTGTCACCGACAGAAAAATGGTGCCAGTGTTGGCACCTCAGCTTTCAGCCTCAGGTCCTCAAATGGGCCTTAGAGAGAGTCCTTGGGGCCCCACTCCTGCCTGGCCTGGCTCCAAGTTGCTCAGCGTTCTAAAGAGATTAGACCTCATGTGGGAGCTAAGAGAAAGGGACTAATCTGGGGGAGAGGGATGGCCTGTTTCACCTTCCTACTTTCCCTCCCCAGGTTCATGGATCAGCATCCAGAGATGGATTTTTCCAAGGCCAAATTCAACTAGCCCATGTGTTTGCCTCCCTGAACTCTTGGGGCTGAACTCCCAGCTACCCACCTTCCTTTCCCACCCTTCCCTGGGACTTGTGGGCCTCAGGGCTGGGGCAGGCATGGGGCTGGCCCACACACAGGTGTGAGGGCATCATGAGAAAAGGGCTGGGGCCTTGGGGGTGTCTTGTCCCATTTGGCCTGCTGTTACACATTAAAACTATTTACCCAATTCCACCTGTGTCCTCTCTTTCCTCTGGCCTTTTCCTGGGGGACAGGCCTCTTATGGCTGCTGCTGGGATCTGGGGGCTTGTCTTCTAGCCCAGGTTCTGCCATGTGATCAAGGGCAAGTCCTTGCCCCTCCCCGGGGCTCAGTTTCTCATTACTTAAATGGAGGATTCACACAAGGCTTTTAGTCTGTGTGTAATTCTGAGCAAAAGTGGCCAAAGGGACCAGAACATATGTCAGATTCTCACAGGGGCCCATGACTCAGCAAAGTTTAAGACCAGCCCAGCTTGATTCCATTTTCATCTCTAAGACAATTTCCCACAGCAATGGGTCTGTCGTCTAGCCCTGGAGCAAGTGTTTGTAAAACTACACTCTTATTTCCCAGGGGCAGAGAGCAGCAAAGGCTGGGGAACCGCCCAGGCCTCAGATTGGCTCAGTGTGTGGTGGGGATCTGGCCGGGAAGGCAGGGTGAAGCCCAGTGGAGCCTATTGTGTGTCTCTGACCTGGACCTCTGCAGATTTTAGGGCTTCACAGAGTGAGCCACTGAGGGAGTGCCAGGGCTGGAGAGGTGTTCCCTTCTGTCCAAATCCAGCCCCAGAGCTGACCCTTTGGTGGGAGAGTACAGGTCACAGCGCAGGGTGCCACAGAGGTCATGGTTACAGCAAGAATGTCTAGGTTGGCTTGGCCAGGTTGCTATGCTCTGTGGGCCGTGGGTGACCCCTGAATTTTTGGAACACAGCATGTCTGTCCTTTTGGCATTTCAGAATAGCTTATTAAAAGATTTAAAGAAGGTATGCAGTGTTTGGCTTTGTCTGTTGACCAAACTTATAAACCCTCTTTTCCGGGAATGCCAGTAGTAGTTCCCAAGGCTAAGCTTGGAAAATTGTGCTCTCGGGCCAGGGCTAAGATGGAAGGACTGTGGCATCACTCTCCTACTCTGTCCAGCAATATCCCTGGGCTTCAGTGCCCTGTGGTCATTTTTTCTTTTCTTTCTTTATTTATTGGATGCATTGGGTCTTTGTTGCTGCACGTGGGCTTTCTCTAGTTGTGGGGGGCTACTCTTCATTGCTGTGCACGGGCTTCTCATTGTGGTGGCTTCTCTTACTGCGGAGCACAGGCTCTAGGAATGCAGGCTTCAGTAGTTGTGTGCGGGCTTAGTTGCTCTGTGGCATGTGGGATCTTCCCCGACCAGGGCTTGAACCCATGTCCCCTGCATTAGCAGGCGGACTCTCAACCACTGCGCCACCAGGGAAGTCCCGTGGTCATTTTCTTTACCTTTTTTTTTTTTTGGCCATGCCATGTGGCATGGCATATGAGATCTTAGTTCCCCGACTAGGGATCGAACTCATGCCCCCTGCAGTAGAAATGCAGAATCCTAATCACTGACCACCAGGGACTTCCCGGCCTGTGGTCATTTTCAATCACAGAGGCCTTGACCTGGAAGAGACAGCAGAGCCTAAGGAAAGGGGCCGGTTTTATCACTGGTACTGGGCCCTGTGGTCATGGCCACAAGGGACTGTCCTGTGTGTCCAGTAGGAAACTGAACAGACAAGTACAGTTTGTCCAGTCACTTTCCAAAGGGTGCCCATGAGGGCAATAGAAGGTCGGGGGGCGGGGGCACTGCAGGTGAAGTGGGGCAGTGAGGAATCCTGGACACCTAGCTTATCATCAGTCGAGACTGGGCTGCTGGGGCCTGCTCCGGTCTCACTGAGAGAACAAACACACCCCTGTGTGTGAGGAGTAGCCAAGTAAGATCCTTCTGAACCCAGCTGGGCTCTGATGTCCAGATTGGGGGAGCCTCCTTCTACCCCAACCAGGTCACCTTGCCAGCTTGGGGGCACAACTGCCAAGAGGCCAGCTTCCGGATAGAGCCACAGTTACTAGCTGCATGACCCACTAAATTCCTTGATACCTCTGAGCGCCAGCACCTGCAAAAGAATGACCCCCACTCCTGGGAGTGCTGAGCAGACACCCGTGACCCTGAGTGCTGTCTGTGCTGTCCGTACCAGGGGGAGGTGGAGGGAGCAGCAGGTCTGAGGTGGGGTGGGCTGACACGTGCTCAGGGATTTGGGGAAACTGCAGGGATGGCCAGAAGCAGGCCAGCCTACAGGCAGTGAGTTGGGGCAACAGAGGGAGTCCAGGCAGGCCTGCTTAGAAGGACCTCTCAACAATGACAGAAACCACTTGGTAAACCCTTCTCAGGCACAGACACTGTGACTGGCTCTATCTCCTAGAATTCACCGTGAGCCTGAGAGATGGGCATCACTGCTCTCAGTTTAGCCTTCTGACCTCAACCCCACGACACTAAGCCAGGCTGGACACTCTATGCTGTCTCCTGCTCCGGGCAGCAGTCAGGCAAATGGGACAGAAAGGACAGTATCACAGCCAAGATGAGCAGACAGATGTCTATTAAGTTTTGTACTATAGTCACGTTAGCATGTAGAACATCAGCCGAGAACCTAACTGCTCAACAGAACGTAACATGGATTGGGCACTGCCCACAGAATCCCGGAGGCCCTGCCTGCCCCCAAACCCAATCCATTTAAGACAAGCTTCTTTTAGCTGTTACCTTCCCTCCCAGCTGTCCTGGGGAGGGGGAGGTTTGCATGATTGGTTACGGGGTGAATGTTACAGGGGGAGCATGTTATGGGGGCAGAGTCAGGATTCAGTTCCAGAAATTAACCCCTCAGTCTTTGCTTTCCATGACCTAGGCTTCCTGAAGACTGTGGGCAGGAAGGAACAGGCCCAGGCAGGGGTCAGGCCAGCGGAGGACCCGGGGGGTGTGGGCACCATGGCCCGGTGAAATGCATGTGATTGAGGAACCAGTCAGCCAAGGCAGGAGGAGCCAGAGTGGGCACTGCTTCTGGGCTCATGGCCTCCCTCCCACAAAGAGGGTTCTGGTCCCTCTCTTCATGAAGTAAATGTGCTTCTCTCAGAAGGGGTTGCGGCCCCTGGGCCCAGTGCGGGTTAGCAGTAGACCTGGAGCAGGGGTGCCCCTGAAGAGTCTGTGTCGGTGCCCTGGAAGGATGAGTCGTGGCTGGCTTGGTATCCTGAGGGGAAAGAGAGCAGGAAACAGAGGCTCAGAAATGGGGAGGGGCTCATGCAAGTCCCTCAGGCAGGGAGAAACCTGCTGAGAAGGAGCAGAGGGGGACTCGAGCCTGGGTCAGTCTGATCCTGGCTGGGTGATCCACTCAGTTTCTTGACGTCTCTGAACCCCAGTCTCGCTCTCTAAAGGGTAATGACCCTGCTCCCAGGGGCTTGTAAAAGCCAAGAGGATAGCAGTAGAAACCACACATGGTGCCTTCTCAGCACCAATGGATGGCCCCCCTCACCTGCCCTCCACTTTCCTCTCCAGTGACCTGGGTTTAGATGCAGGTTCTGGGCACCTGCCCTCCTCCCCTCTGGTTCAGGGGCATCCCCCTGAATCTCTCCCAGCTGAACCTTTAAGCCAGTTTGCAGGACTGGGATGGGGTATAAGGCTGCTCAGGCTTCTCGTCCCTTTCTGATCCCATCCTCACCCACCCCAGGAGGAAGCTGGGAGAGGGGCAGGTGGGGGGCTGCTAGGGCAGTCCCCTCTCCTCTCCACACTTTCATGTCAGGACCAAACCTGGGGCTCCATAAGGCCTCAGCTTCCTGGCGATGGCATCTGCGGTCGTCTCCTGGGAGATCTGCACTGTGAGTTCTAGGGAGGGAACATGAAGGGGCAGTGGTCATTATCACATCCTTTCAACCCGATTCCCCACTTCTGCCCCCAGCCCATTGAGAGAGGGGCCATTCACCCCTGGGCTGGGCTAGGGAAACGATGTTTAAAACAAAGACGCAAAAAAAAACACAAAAAAAAAAGAGAGAGAGAGAGAGAGAGAGAGAGAGAGAGAGAGAGAGAGTGTGTGTGTGTGTGTCGGTCCGTCTGTACAGGGATGAGTGGGTGGATAGGGGTTTTGGTTAGGCCAGGCCAGCTCAGAGGTCCAAATTCGCATGGGTTCCTGGGTCCTGTTAACTAGGCTAGCTGGTTGGGGCTGAAAGCTACTCTGGCAGGTGGCAGCAGGGGACAGAAAGAACCTGTTAGGGGATGTGGAAGAGTGGAGAAAAAGGAGGAGGAAGAGCTGGGACCGGCTGAGGGTGGACCCACAGTGGCCAAAGACCCCAGTGCAACCCTCCCTGTCCAGAGCCTCGTCTACTCTGCCCCTCAGCCCTGTGGGGCCCCACCTACCATCCTGGCTGAGCCCTGAGCCCACCATGGTCTCATGGCCACTGTCAGGGGCAGGGGCAGCAGAGGCAGCCACCCTGGTTGAGCGCCCCTCTGTGGTCTGCGGGCGGGCACGGCTCTTTCGGGTACTGATGCGAATGATGCCGCGTACCAGGCGGCCCTCAGCGTCCTGCTCATCCAGGTGGTAGTCCTGGGTGATGCTGCTGATAAGGTCCGATATCTTACTGGTCTTCTCCAGGAACACAGTGTCTGAGGTGCACTTGGCCAGCTCGTCGATCTGGTGTACACTGAACAGCTCTGTCAGCTTCTTGAAGATGAGCACATCGATCTCTCGGCTGGACATGGAGCCACTGCCTATCTCGGGCAGGTCCAGGTCCGACTCGTGGAAGGAGTAGTACTCCTCAGAGCCTCGGGGACTGCTGGCAAGGGTGCTGGGCAGGCTGTGCCGCGTGGGTGGGGGGTCGGCCAGTGGCTCCTTGCAGCAGGAGTCCGCGTCCAGGGCTGGGGAGGTGGTGCTGCGGTAGGGATACACAGGAA